TATTTTAAACTTATTTGTCCACGGTAGTGTCCACTTGGCGCTACAAATACTTCGAAACATTTGATTAATCAGATGAAAGAAATTTAATTAAAGCGTTCAATGAACTCTTGTACCTGTTTGGTCTATATTTTGGGATCTAATGGAATCCGCCAATCAAATACAAGAGCGCTCAATGAACGGTTGTAGACCATTTTGGATTAGTGCTGGAATTTATTTGCAACTTTTAGCCGAATATAAAAAGAATTTTTTTTACAAAAAACATTGTATATGTGTGCTATTTCATATTCATATTCATATTCATATGTGTTTATATTACTTTAACGAAAAACGTCTTTGCCATATAATTTTTTTATCTTTTTGAATAAAATTGGATAACATGTAAATTTAAGCCAGTCTTTTTCTTTTAATTGTCCTAGGCTGTATTACTCTGATGACCCTGTGTATTATCCTTGTTTAATATTAGGTAAAAAACAATTAAAGGTAAAACGATACATGAAGGGCAGTTGGATAACGTTTTTGAATACAGCCTTAATGGTATCGATACTACCAATAAAAATTCCGATGAAAAAAGTAACTTAAAAGTAACTTAAAGTTACTTTTTCAGTAACTGTAACTATAACGAATTACTTTTCAGAGTCAATAACTTGTAACGGTAATTAATTACTTTTTGAAAGAGAAAAACTGTAACTGTAATTAATTACTTTTACAAAGTAACTTTCCCATCCCTGCAGATCAGTATTATGTGTATCCTGCAAAAAACTTTACTGAGTAAACTTTATTATATAAATATAGTATGTGTGTGTGTTCATTGCAGGTGTGGAATATGTTTCCAGAGGGAATGTTTATAGATAATGTAATGGAGGTCGCGAAACGGGAACTGGCATGGGAAGTGGATTATACAAGGGAAGCAGAGTGTACGAAAAAATATAAGGAGTTAATAATGCCTTATCCAGAATATTATGTGCCTATAGTAATAGGTAAGTGATGTAGGTAAATAAAAAAAAGATGTATGGAATCAATTTTTTATATATAATATGAATTAAATTTATAGACGATCTCTCTACAAAACAAGTATTTACAACAGAGATGATAGAAGGTATACCTGTTGACAAATGTATAGATATGGATGTTACTATTAAGGAACATATAAGTGAACTGCTCATGCGTCTAAGCCTAAAAGAATTATTCGAATTTCGATACATGCAGACTGATCCAAATTGGTCCAACTTTTTTTACAATCTTGATACAAAACAGGTTTTTTTTTTATATCGTAGTTATGTATTTGTAATTTAATCACGAAAGAGTATTAACAGATACATCTTTATAGTTAATTTTACTGGATTTCGGAGCATGTAGAACATATGACAAAATATTTATGGATAAATATATAGAAGTCATTAATGCTGCAAGTGAAGGAAATCGCAATAAGGTACTACAATTATCTCGAGAGATGAAGTTTCTTACTGGATATGAGTCCAAGGTACCTTATCTCTATTAAGCAACCTCAAAAAACTTTAAAAAGCTATTTCTATATATACATATATATATATATATATATATATATAATTTTAATTGAACCATTTTTACATTATCAGATCATGGAGGATGCTCATGTGGATGCAGTCATGATTCTTGGACAAGTGTTTGATAACAATCACGAGTATTATGATTTTGGCGGTCAAGATGTAACAAAACGGTACGTTCAACTTATTTCTGCATCCATCCTATAATGACTATAATACATATAATAATTATGTATTGCAGGATCCAAGTTTTAGTGCCAACTATAATAAATTATAGATTATGTCCACCACCCGAGGAAATATATAGCTTACATAGAAAATTGTCTGGAATATTTTTGTTGTGTGCAAAACTTGGAACAAAAATCAAATGTCGCGACATGTTCCGCGAAATTTATGCTAATTATAAGTTTGGTTAATAGATATTTATATTGATGATAATATAATGAAATATACATGTATTTTGATTGAAATGCATAGTTTATTTTATAAAAATGTATTCTTTTTTCTTTAGTACCGATAGTATTAAGGTACAATTTCATGCAGCAAAGCTTCGCTGGCGGAG